AGGCTGACCTTTGGAAAGGTGAACAGGTAGAAGGAGATACCTGAACGCCTCAGGAAGGGGAGAAGGGCTTTGATCTGAATTTGGGTACATCATTGTTCCTCTATCTGCAGGATGGCTCGATGACATTGGTTTACCTCAGTACAAAGACCAGTTTCATGAAGCCAGAGTGGATGGGAGAATGTTGCAGTACTTAACTGTGGTAAGCTAAAATCCTTTTTCCTCCGTTTAACCAAATTTAACTTCAGAATGAGCAAAGAACTTTATAATTTTCCTTTGAGTGTGAGCAGTTAAGGAATTTTTTGCAAGCAGAAATAGTGCCAGTAGTAACCAACTCCTTTGCGTTGTCTCGTGCATAATTACTACTCCTAAGGTACATAAGTTACAGGCTATGTTACAGCTCACTTCCACGGACTGTCTTTCAGTGCCATGTAGCACACCATGATTAAAGGTAAAATGACTTATTTTACATGCAGCTTCAGGAGTTCATTGTTCTCCTCACCAAGTTAGCAACAATATTAAATAAACTAAAGATAAGCAGCAAGTCCAGTAACTGGTAGAGCTCCAGCCACATGAGCAGCAAACCATGCACTACACGTAGCCACTGTGTTTTCCTACAGCTGGATAATTCTTGTTAACAAACAAACAGCTAATTTAGTCATTTTTTTCATAGCACAGTTATCAGAAGTTCAGTTTTGTCTTTACATAAAACCACGCAGCAAGTTTGACATCTCTCTTCCTGGGGAAGGCTCCTATTTTGGTATGTATTCTGTGCCACTTAAAGGGCTCTCCCCTTCACAGAATGACCTTCTCTTTCTGAAAGTCACCAGTCAGCTGCATCACCTGAGTATTAAATGTGCCATTCATGTGCTGCACATCAATGGTTTCAACCCCCACTGTCTGCGCAGGAGACCAGTTGAGGAGGTAAGAAAGATTATGTTTAAATAAATTAAATCAAACAAGTACCTGATTCCAGCCAAAGGTGACAGACAGTCAGCAGTGTGCAGTGAGGCAGTAGAGTCGCCGCTCCTGGGGAGCTGCGCCTAAAGCAGTAGTTATGCTGCTTTCCAGCTCTGGAATGTAAAGTGTACTCACCAGTAATAAAAATCTACTCAGGCCTTAAGTGCTTGAGCCGCTTACGAGCTGGTCTTACACACTTCCCTTGAGAAATCATTCGCTTAGAAGTTAATTCAACTTCTGGGATAGTAATTTGGAATGTTTTTTCTTTGCCTCCTAATTTTTAACTCCCAAAGACTGAGGTTTTTGCCTTACCTCATGAGCCGAACTTACTCATTTTGTATTAAAACCTGACAGTAAGTCAGTATAACTTATTCATTTAGTATTAAAGCCTGACAATAAATACTGTTCTCAAAATGCTCCCTTTTTTACAGCTAGTATCTGTGGTCTCTACTGTTACACTACTTGATGCAGTCAATGTACGGGGTTTCACCTTGATCCAGAACAATACTTTAGAATCCAGGGAAGAAACACTGCTCTTTGAGGGAGAGGAGGAGCAACGGCTTTATCTGAACTGAGGGCAGATGTTGTGAATGTGCAGTGACAATACTGGCTGCAGTGTCGTCATGACCTCTGGTTTCTTCAACAGAGTAACGGCTCGCCTTCTGAAGTTGTTCAGTGGTCCAACCACAGAGTGATGGAATGGCTCAGATCCGTCGACCTGGCAGAATACGCACCGAACCTGCGAGGAAGCGGAGTGCACGGCGCCCTCATTGTGAGACTTCTCCACGTTTGCTCTAACGTTTTACTACACACCCACTGGCAACTGACAGACCGTAACATAGAACGTGTTTTGCCTGGTGTTTGTCCAGCCAGAGGGAACAGATGTGCCTGTGATACAACAGCACGATCTGGCCTTGTAAAGCGCCTGGTTGTATGATTCATGTATCTTAATTTTATAAAGGAAAGCTAAAATAAAAAGGAACTGCTAAACCAGGTTTTATAATGAAAGCTGAGCTGTGCATGAGTGTTTAACAGCGGTACATTAAAAACCAAACCAAACCCAAACTGTACCATGGGAAAGGTACTTAATAATAAGGCATCACAAGGTGTTTCTTGGAGGGGTTTTACTAGAATTCTGAGCCACAGCAAATGACTGCCCTGAACTCACAGAGGTCTTGCTGGCAGTCAGGAATGGGGATTTTTAATTCCAAATATCCAGAGCTGTTTGCAGCTTAATGAAGTCAGACTTCCGAAATACCCCGATTCTAGTGCTGTAGAATTTTTGCAAAAATGAAATAGAAAAACATGTGCTAAGATTCAGTTTATACTCTGAGTAGAGCACAAAACTCTGAAAACAAACTCATTCAATCCAAACAAATGGAAGGTTTGCTGATGAGGATAAATCCGATCAAGTTCTGCATCTCTTAGTGCCCACATTCGTGGATTTCCCATTCAAGCCCTAGTGAGTATCAAATCACAAGTGAGTTATAAAAGCTCAGCAATGAGACATTCCTCTGACAAGCACTGTAGTGGCTTCATATTGCAAATATTTAACCATGTAAAAACCCCTGTTCTGCCAATTTTTTAACAGCTTCTCGAGCCTCGCTTCAACGGCGACACGCTGGCGATGCTGCTGAATATTCCCCCTCAGAAGACGTTGCTGCGGCGGCACCTGACGACCAATTTCAACGTATTAATTGGAGCAGAGGCTCAACAAGAAAAGAGAGAAATAACGGAGTCCACAGCATACACACCTCTGACCACCACCGCCAAAGTCCGGGTATGTCCTGCTTTCAAAGGGGAGGTACTTGGGAAGTTCAGACATTACTCTCCCTGTCTTGTAGAGAAAATAAGGAACAAATGTGAGCAGGGAGAGGCCAGCGCTAACTCTACGCTAAAAGGAGTAGTGTTATATTTTCCTTAAGTCCAGATACTGAAGGATTTAATTTGTGTCTGTTTAAATCAGCTCCTGAAATAATCATGCAATCCCATCGGTCTCATTTACCTTCCATCTTTTCTTAGAAGGAACACTATCAAAATGTACTTGATATAAACTGTAACTCCTGCTTTGAAAACAAATTAATTTAATTTAGAATCTACTTACCTGGAGGACTAGGATATAACAGTAAATCAAAAAGAAGAGGGGTTTGAATGTTTAAAGGGCAACCTTATTTTTCTTATGTATAACTTACTGCGTTATAAAACTGTCTTCTTGTTTTAGCCAAAAAAACTTGGATTTTCACATTTTGGAAACTTAAGGAAAAAGAAATTTGATGAATCAACAGACTACATTTGTCCTATGGATACAAACCCAGGTGCTACAAATGGTTCTCAGAAGAACTACGGTGGATATAAAGGCCTTAGTCCCGTCACTGACAGGGAGCTGGATCAGGTGGGACAGCCAGACTGATGCCATTCTCATCTCATCTCATCCTCTCCATGCATTCCAAAGCTTGCAAATAACCAAATGTTAGCATGCAACGAAGTATTTGCTGCACCTGCATGAACTTACTGAGAAAATACTGGCTGTGGACACTAGAAAGAGTTCTGTACTAAGAATGTCAGGTTAATTTTTTTAATCAATATCATATAAACTCATCCATCTTCAAGCCCTTTTTCAGGTATAGGACACCTTTACACTATGAAGATCGATGTATTTTGACAATTAAGGTGGTGGTGGCAGGAAACAAGACTTGTACTTCTAGCTTGCTTAATCTCTATATGGCAAACTACTTTTTTCATGATCTTTATGGGTGTTTTTTAAATGTAATAAATTTATTTGGACTGATTTGTACAAAGCTATCAAGTTATATATTAAGTGACAACTGGATTATATATTTTTAATGGATGTTAATCAAAGAATCCAACTGAATTTTTCTTTCATTATGTACAGTGGGGAGTAGTTTTGCTTAGAAGGGTGTATGTGAAAACAAACAGTGCATCAGTAATGAACAAGATTATTAATAAACCCATCCTGAAATGATTCACTTCTGTTACGTAGTAGTGAACTTGTGCATGAAACTCTCCAGACATCACACAGACTAACGAGGAAGACTAAAACCCATCAAATTTTATCCAACTTTGCTGTTGTGTAAAGGGATGTAAACCCTGAAAAATGGAGCTCCTGGAGCCTTGTGTGAGCTTCAGCGACACACAAGAGCCAGACAGAGGCAGCTGGGGTGAACTGCCCCATCTCCAGTAGCGCCTGATGTGAGATAAAATCATTTTAAGCCTGATAAGAGAAGGGTCACAAAATTGAACAGACTAACCGTGAAGGTAATTTTTCATATGCATGGTTTACTGCATCTAACAAACATCTCATCACTTGTGTTCATTACCTAACCACTGTCTTTTTCCATATTAATTGGAAGCTTTACTTCAGTAAATGAAGTACTGTTCCTCAGCAGGGTCAGTACTGAATCCTGACTGTAACCGAGCATGGATGTGCACTTGCATAGTGAAGAGTTGCAAGTGACTGCAGTAACTTTGAGCCAAGAACTTACTTACACTAAGCAGTTGTTCAGGCAGTACCAAAATCCTAGATTTTCCTCTAGGAGCATGGTCTTTTAAGTGTGACTTCTGAGCATGCGGTCATGCAGGGAAATGTCAATGCCCTAGAACTGATGACAACCTTTTATCTCAGAGTAGGTGGGACTGTATCTTGAAGGACTCTTGCTTCTTGCCTGTCAAAGATACTACCAGAAGTATAATAAGTGTTACACCATCAGGAAAACATCACTCTATTGTCAGTATCAGTTAAGCTTTTTCTTTCCTTCTGTGAATTACAGTTCAAGTTTCATGGAATCAGTCTTTCCTAACCAGGATTCGCTCTTCCTACAGTTAAATGTGTTTCACATGCCTTTTAGCATGGAGGCTTTTTCATGAACATGCAGGAATCAGAACTTCTCACAACTTGACTTGTCCAGGCACAGATTCCTCCCAAAGATGCACATAGAGTGAATCAAATTGCACGTACTGATCTGAACTCATTCCTGAATACTTTTACAGATGGAACATTCAGAAGGAACAGTAATGCAAATAGGGGCTCTTTCTCAAGGCATAAGCCATCTTACGGTATGTACTAATTCCATTCGTCTTTTAAAGTAACAAATGTATTCTGCTGGAATTCAATGCAAGTAGGTCATTGCTGGTGGTGGTGAAGAGTAAGTTAACCTCTTATAGCCTGGTTGCACATTCACAGTCCAAACCTACTCTGCTTTTAGATTCCACTAAAAATTAAGTTCCCTTTAAGCCTGTGTTAAGTTTTCATGAACTCTTCTATCCCTTAACTCAATGACATACATCCCCTTAGCTGAAAACAATTCTCCAAAGGTTTTTAAGTAAGTAACCACCATCCAATGCCTCAGTCACAGCAGAGGTACAGACTAGAAAACCTATGTGAGGTAAAACTCAATGAAAAAACAAACCAACCCCAAACTACTACTAATTCCCGACTTAATTAATTAGCAGCTAATTAAAAGGTGGACTGAAAGGTATGATGAAGAATTATATAACATAGTGGAGTGCCATGTGACACAAGATCTCTGTGAGAGTCCCCTCAGGCAAATAATAGTTCATTTAAAGCTGCATTCAAGAAAGTCCTTTTAATTTGATGTGGCTCTAACCCCCTCTGTTGTGACTCTGATCTCACTGCAGGTGGATTTCCTTAACCACAGGCCTCTAAGCAAACATGCTTATTCATTCATACCTTGGTTTTTCAGACGATGTTAAGCCAAGATGAAATGCTGAATGACAGCAGATTTTTAACACCTACCTTTGAAGACTGGAGATGATGTTTCGGCGTGACCAAGAACACTACTAATACCTCATGCCTGTCCAGAGGGGTGGGCCAGGAGAAGCTTGATGCTGTTCACGGAAAAGCTTTACATCTTGTCTGCCAATTAGACTTACCACAGAGCATTTAATGCTGCCAACGTAGCAATGCCATACAGGTAACTCTCCTCCACGTGATTTTCTTTACTGCATAATGTGAAATAGGTGTTGAGAGAGAATACTCACAGCAGACTCTGGAAAGCTGAGGCTGGCACCACCCTTTTATTCAGTCATCTTTTACATGGTATGTTTACATACTGTATGAGAAAGATCTTCTGTCATTTTTTATTTTTATAATTAACTTGTAATGCAGGAATCATTAATTCCATGTTGTACCATGTGGACTCATCAGAGCTACCTAGACATTCAGATGGATGCTGGTGAGTGCTGGCTCACCAACTACTGCTGCAGCCCTGCCAGAGACTGTTTCCCATAAAAAGATTTTAATCTCTCACCCCTTTCATTAGCACATGTCCTGCCCTCTTTTTATCTAAGTAAGTAAGTGCAGTGTAGAAAGGGAAGAATGGAACATAATGGTATCCATCCAGGCCTTGCTCTTATCAGGATGACAACAAGATGGCACGTTCACAAATCTTGACCTAACTCAGATGCTGAACAGCTCCAGCAAGAAATGTAACTTTGAGGCTGCCAGAGAAACTGATGCACTCAAAAGCTGGTGCTGCATTTGACATGGTGGGTTTTTAACAGTGTGGTTTTCACATGTGCACTGAGATAGTCACTGTCAAGGAGAAATCTCAACATCTAATTAATGTAAACTGTAACTTTAAGAAAGGTGTTTGTTGCACTCCATAGGGTGAGTGCAACAGAATATCCAGCATGATCCATCCCCTGGCTTTACATGACAGTTCTTTAACTAGAACTACGGAATGGGCTCTGTCTGAACATGCATGTTTTGTCCAAAATGGCTAGTACTGACACACATGTGCAAGCATCAGGATGCGCATAAGCCTTCTGAACAGTCAGAATGGTTCAGACCACGTTTTCTGAGCCCCATACCTAACACAGTGGCTCTAAGGAAGACAGGAATGGTAATAAACCTATTTCTTAATTAAATGTCTGGCTGCAAAGAGTCCTGAGGACTGGAGATGACAGTAGAAACACTTTTGTAATGTCTGCATGACAACTAGAGATGTTGTAAACAGTAGAACTGAAAGTGAACAGCACTCTTTTCATTCCAGCTGCATCTGGAATTTCATAGAATACTTTGTTTAGCAATAGGAGACAAACATCATTGCTTTGGAAAGTGTAAAATGCCACTAAGGAGCATCAGGCAAGCACGATAATAAAATAAATAGTTGTTTCTTTAAACAGCTGACGAAAGAGAGCTGTTGCTATTCTACTGAGCTAGGCAGGACTGCAGCACTGTGAAAGAGGAAAACACAGCTTCTCAGTACTTACTTGAGGGGCTGTTTGCAGGTGAAGGTGTCTCCTTCACAGCAGCAGTTACTCGCGGCATCAGCTGACATGTGCCTTTTGTATATTAATAAGGAATTAACAAGTTGTCTTAGTTAACAGGGAAATGCCAGAAAAGAAATTGGCTCAATTGTGAAGACCTAGTAAGTATATAGGTGGTTTGCATTACTCTTTCTCCTGAAGGGTGTTGGTTTACACATTAATATAGCCCGAGGGTTGCCACAACACTCCCAGGTAAAGGGGAAATATCTGGTACTGTCCCAGGTATGCAGCAAGGGCTCTTCCAGAGCTGTCAGTGGCACTTTTTAAAGGTGACCTATTCTGCTCCTCACTCTCTGGACCTCTCATGAGAGGCCCTGCATGGTATAGTCAGATTTTAGAAGCTAAACACATGATTTTATTGTCCCAAATGGTAAAACCAAAGCAAATTATTTTTCAATCAATCACTTGAACAATGAAAATATTGGAAAATTCAAAGGAACAAGAAATCGGTCTACACATCAGCCAACTAAAAATGCTTAATAAAAGGAATTAAATGTACCAGTCCAGTACACCTCCCAGCTGGCACTGCAATCAACACTAGTGACCATGTGCCACGGGCATTTGAAATACTTTGCTGGGCTAACTAGCCAGCAGACTTATTACAGCACTACAGCTAAAGTAAGCTGCTCTAACACAGGCAGCTCTAGTATCATTGGGATGTTCCAAGCAGATTTTCTGTTTTCTTCTGATGATGATGTATTTATAACTGAACGTGGTGTTGTGCTAACTTGGCTGTGAATAGTCAGTCTACAAAGTTATTGGTATTAAAATATGTATCTCGTAAGAAATCCTAACTAACTAGCATAACACTGGCATAAATGCTTATTTTTTTGACTGTTACGAATAAATGCTGAATGTTCCTCCATCTCTTGCTGACTGTGGAATGATTCTAACAGAAATACACGTGCTTGATCTCTTATCTGGGACAGAATCAACAGCGTGAAACCCTGTGCCTGTCTTTGCATTACTGCTACAAACGTAACGGATAAAGGGGTTTGTACTTCAAAACCTTTTGGTTTTAGATTCCTTTTGTTTTGCTTCAGATTAATAAAAATATTGGGTAAGCATATTCATTAGCACCTGAAATCAAAAGTCTTCTGACTCAGAGATTTGTCAGACCCTAAAACTACTGTAGGATTAACTAATTCCTGGAAACGAACATGCAGTACAGTACTTCAAGAACTGAAGGCTAAGAATTAAATGCTGTGTATGTGGTAAAAACACTAAGATGAGGCATTATCCAAGTATGACATCACCTCAGCATAACTTACAATAGGAAGTAAGAAACCCTGTTTTCTCGTACGCAAAGGAGATTTCTGAAGCTGCCAAGAGCAAGCCCTGCACATCAGGAATGACATTCAAATGGGTAGTTATCTCCGTGTATGCAGCCCAGAACTTCTCCATGCATTTGGCAGTGATTTAGCTAAGGTTGTTAGAAGGCAGCGTGAAATTATGTAAAGTTCCCAAATAAATTTCACACTAGTGAGAATTTCTGTTACAATAATAAGCAATTTGCATGTTGCCCAAATTCTATTCACTTTTTCAATAGCATAGTCCCTGTTATTTCAGTTTGTTAGTCCTGGGAAAGGGTGTAAAACAGCACGAAAAAGACAAAGGGGAGGAAAAAAAAAAGACTGTTCTTTGTACTATCCTCCCCAGGATTCCCTGAATTAATTACCTACAGAGCACAGTCAAGTAATACCAGTCCTGCTTTACAGCCCTCTCCCAAATTCCATACCCCTGTTAACAAACAAGTGGTTTTATCTCTGTCCTACCTCTCCAATTACTCTTGTTTTGTTTCTCAGAATTAACATTTCACACTATCTTAAGAGGTTAGTCTAAGTTACCTCCACGCAATTCAAGATGATCTCTCAACTTAGTATCAACATATGCAAAGGTAATTGTGAAGTTAGTTATAAACCACAGGACTTCTATTAAGTTGTTAAAAACCACACACACAATAGTACGACACAGTTACATACCAGTTATCCCTGTAGGAAAACACACAGTACTTAGGAAAAGCTATCAGGTGACATCAGTGTTAATAAGAAAATGTAGAGCTCTTGGGATAGCCAAGCTTGTCCAGGTTGGGCTGGCAAGCAAACTGAATCATGGGTGGTGGCCCACACAGGAGAACCAGTGTATCGCTGCCGGGGGGAGGGAGGTGGCTTTGGATCATCTCTGCAGTGATGAAGCCAGAACTGTACTTCCAATCTGAAACAAGGAAATTAAACTGTTAATTTGACTCTCTGAACAGTCTGAAGCCTGTTAAACTGTCTGTGTCAGACTCACAAAGTAGCTGAAGAAGCAGTGAAGTTAAGCCACCATCACTGCAAGCCAGTCTCTCACTGAGCTCAAACCTAGTGGTCCCCTTCCACAGGAACAAGCACATGGGTACGAAGGATCTCCTTATAAGACATGGAAGTTGTGAATATATGATAGATTTAAAAGCAATTAGCAGGTAGGAATAAACAGGAGGAGTAAATTAGCTTTTCCAGTGAAGAGAGGTCACCCAGGGGCAGTTGTGCAGGGAGACAGATTGAGAGCTGTGCCATCCAACACATGAAAAAATACAAAAGTGGAAAAAGGATCGAGTGATGAGGTGACAAAGTTTGATGATGACAAAAGTTCTGCCGTGTAAAGGGCTAAGAGGAAAGAATGCTAAATGATTGTAAGCACTAATATTATTGAATGCATCTGCCATTCAAAGTGAGCCAAGTAGGAAAAATAATCCTACCTTCACATATAAAAGTACGTGCTTTAAGATCATTTATCAGGAGAAAGACACTGGGGTTATGAAAACAGCAGCAGTCAAAAGGCATGTAAAATGTTACAGAGTACCAGGAGAGGG